AAAAATTGGACAATTAAAAAATCGGATAAATCAAACATCGAAACATCCAAAAATCGAGAAACCGAAAAGCAAAAATCGAAAAATCAAAATACCAAAAAAGAAGTCGAAAAATCGAAAAATTGAGAAATTGAAATAGGCCAAAATCGAAAAATCGAAAACTGAAATATGGAAAAATTGATAAAGCGAGAGATTGAACAATCAAAACATCGAAACATCCGAATCTCAATAAATTGGGATCTCAAAAAATTTAAAAATTCGGAAATTTGAAAAATTAAAATATAGAATTGGAAACTCGAGAAACGAAAAATCTAGAAATTTAAAAATTAAAATATGGAAAAGTTGAAAAATTGAGAAATTGGAATATAAGACAATCGAAAAATTGAAAAATCAAAAGTATAAAAACGAAAAACTGAAAATCCAAAAATAAAAAATCGAAAAATCTAGAAGTCGAAAAATCAAAGAATCGAAGTATTGAAAAATATCTAAACTGAAAGAAATATCCAAAAGTTGAGAAATCGAAAAACCAATAAGGCGAAGTCGAAAAATCGAAGAATTGAAGAACTGAAAAATCGAAACTTTGTGAAGTGGGAAAATCAAAAATAGATTAATTGAGAAATCAGAAAACTGAAAATTTAACGTAAAAATTTGAAAAATTGAAAAATTTAAATACTGAAAAACTGAAAAATCAAAAATCGAGAAATCGAAAAATCTAAAATTTAAAACATTGAAAAATTAAAATATCGCAAAATTGAAGAATCGAGAAATCCAATTCAATTTAAAAAATTGAAAAGTTAAAATTGAGAAATCGAAAAACTGAAAAATCACAAAATTGAACGAAAAATTAGGAAATTAAAAAATTGAGAAACAGAAAAGTCAAAAAAGCAGAGTCGAAAGATCGCAAACTTAAAAAATCGAAAAATTGAAAAATCAAAAACCTGAATAATCGAAAAATTGACGAACTGAAGAACTGAAAAATCGAAACTTTGGGAAGTGAAGAAATGGGAATATAAAAAAAATAGATTAATTGAGAAATCCGAAAACTAAAATTTCAAAAACGTCAAAATTTGAAAAATAAAAAAATATTGAAGAACTGAAAAATCGAAAAATCTAAAATTTAAAACATTGAAAAGTTAAAATATCCTAAAACTGAAAAATGGAGAAATCCAAACATCAAAAAATCAAAAAAATAAAAATTCGAAAATCTAAAATTTAAAAATCGAAAAACTGAAAAATCAACGAATTGAGAAGTCGAAAATTTAAAAAATTGGACAGTTAAAAAATCGGATAAATCAAACATCGAAACATAGAAAAATCGAGAAACCGAAAAGCAAGAATCGAAAAATCAAAATACCAAAAAAGAAGTCGAAAAATCGAAAAATTGAGAAATTGAAATAGGCCAAAATCGAAAAATCGAAAATTTAAATATGGAAAAATTGATAAAGCGAGAGATTGAACAATCAAAACATCGAAACATCCGAATCTCAATAAATTGGGATCTCAAAAAATTTAAAAATTCGGAAATTTGAAAAATTAAAATATAGAATTGGAAACTCGAGAAACGAAAAATCTAGAAATTTAAAAATTAAAATGTGGAAAAGTTGAAAAATTGAGAAATTGGAATATAAGACAATCGAAAAATTGAAAAATCGAAAAACCAATAAGGCGAAGTCGAAAAATCCAAGAATTGAAGAACTGAAAAATCGAAACTTTGTGAAGTGGGAAAATCAAAAATAGATTAATTGAGAAATCAGAAAACTGAAATTTTAACGTAAAAATTTGAAAAATTGAAAAATTTAAATACTGAAAAACTGAAAGATCAAAAATCGAGAAATCGAAAAATCTAAAATTTAAAACATTGAAAAATTAAAATATCGCAAAATTGAAAAATCGAGAAATCCAATTCAATTTAAAAAATTGAAAAGTTAAAATTGAGAAATCGAAAAACTGAAAAATCACAAAATTGAACGAAAAATTAGGAAATTAAAAAATTGAGAAACAGAAAAGTCAAAAAAGCAGAGTCGAAAGATCGCAAACTTAAAAAATCGAAAAATTGAAAAATCAAAAACCTGAATAATCGAAAAATTGACGAACTGAAGAACTGAAAAATCGAAACTTTGGGAAGTGAAGAAATGGGAATATAAAAAAATAGATTAATTGAGAAATCCGAAAACTAAAATTTCAGAAACGTCAAAATTTGAAAAATAAAAAAATATTGAAGAACTGAAAAATCGAAAAATTTAAAACATTGAAAAGTTAAAATATCCTAAAACTGAAAAATGGAGAAATTCAAACATCAAAAAATAAAAAAAATAAAAATTCGAAAATCTAAAATTTAAAAATCGAAAAACTGAAAAATCAACGAATCGAGAAATCGAAAATTTAAAAAATTGGACAATTGAAAAATCGGATAAATCAAAAATCGAAACATCGAAAAATCGAGAAACCGAAAAGCAAAAATCGAAAAACCAACAAATCGAAAAATCAAAAGACCAAAAAAGAAGTCGAAAAATCGAAAAATTGAGAAGCCGAAAGGGCCAAAATCGAAAAATCGAAAACTTAAATATGAGAAAATTGATAAAGCGAGAGATTGAACAATCAAAACATCGAAACATCCGAATCTCAATAAATTGGGATCTCAAAAAATTTAAAAATTCGGAAATTTGAAAAATTAAAATATAGAATTGGAAACTCAAGAAACCGAAAAATCTAGAAATTTAAAAATTAAAATATGGAAAAGTTGAAAAATTGAGAAATTGGAATATAAGACAATAGAAAAATTGAAAAATCGAAAGTATAAACAACGAAAAACTGAAAATTCAAAAATAAAAAATCGAAAAATCTAGAAGTCGAAAAATCAAAGAATGGAAGTATTGAAAAATATCAAAACTGAAAGAAATATCCAAAAATTGAGAAATCGAAAAACCAATAAGGCGAAGTCGAAAAATCGAAGAATTGAAGAACTGAAAAATCGAAACTTTGTGAAGTGGGAAAATCAAAAATAGATTAATTGAGAAATCAGAAAACTGAAAATTTAATGTAAAAATTTGAAAAATTGAAAAATTTAAATACTGAAGAACTGAAAAGTCAAAAATCGAGAAATCGAAAAATCTAAAATTTAAAACATTGAACAATTAAAATATGGCAAAATTGAAGAATCGAGAAATCCAATTCAATTTAAAAATTGAAAAGTTAAAATTGAGAAATCGAAAAACTGAAAGATCACAAAATTGAACGAAAAATTAGGAAATTAAAAAATTGAGAAACAGAAGTCAAAAAAGCAGAGTCGAAAAATCGCAAACTTAAAAAATCGAAAAATTGAAAAATCAAAAACCTGAATAATCGAAAAATTGACGAACTGAAGAACTGAAAAATCGAAACTTTGGGAAGTGAAGAAATGGGAATATAAAAAAATAGATTAATTGAGAAATCCGAAAACAAAAATTTCAGAAACGTCAAAATTTGAAAAATAAAAAAATATTGAACTGAAAAATCGAAAAATCTAAAATTTAAAACATTGAAAAGTTAAAATATCCTACAACTGAAAAATGGAGAAATCCAAACATCAAAAAATCAAAAAAATAAAAATTCGAAAATCTAAAATTTAAAAATCGAAAAACTGAAAAATCAACGAATTGAGAAGTCGAAAATTTAAAAAATTGGACAATTAAAAAATCGGATAAATCAAACATCGAAACATCGAAAAATCGAGAAACCGAAAAGCAAAAATCGAAAAATCAAAATACCAAAAAAGAAGTCGAAAAATCGAAAAATTGAGAAATTGAAATAGGCCAAAATCGAAAAATCGAAAACTTAAATATGGAAAAATTGATAAAGCGAGAGATTGAACAATCAAAACATCGAAACATCCGAATCTCAATAAATTGGGATCTCAAAAAATTTAAAAATTCGGAAATTTGAAGAATTAAAATATAGAATTGGAAACTCGAGAAACGAAAAATCTAGAAATTTAAAAATTAAAATATGGAAAAGTTGAAAAATTGAGAAATTGGAATATAAGACAATCGAAAAATTGAAAAATCGAAAGTATAGAAAACGAAAAACTGAAAATCCAAAAATAAAAAATCGAAAAATCTAGAAGTCGAAAAATCAAAGAATGGAAGTATTGAAAAATATCAAAACTGAAAGAAATATCCAAAAATTGAGAAATCGAAAAACCAATAAGGCGAAGTCGAAAAATCGAAGAATTGAAGAACTGAAAAATCGAAACTTTGTGAAGTGGGAAAATCAAAAATAGATTAATTGAGAAATCAGAAAACTGAAAATTTAACGTAAAAATTTGAAAAATTGAAAAATTTAAATACTGAAAAACTGAAAAATTAAAATATCGCAAAATTGAAGAATCGAGAAATCCAATTCAATTTAAAAAATTGAAAAATTAAAATTGAGAAATCGAAAAACTGAAAAATCACAAAATTGAACGAAAAATTATGAAATTAAAAAATTGAGAAACAGAAAAGTCAAAAAAGCAGAGTCGAAAGATCGCAAACTTAAAAAATCGAAAAATTGAAAAATCAAAAACCTGAATAATCTTCAGGTATAGTAAAATAAAAATAGGCGTCAAATTGATTTAAATACAATCCTTTCGTATCACGTTACAACGCGTTGCTTCATATTTTTTATGTCAAGTATATTTTCATATTTTGTACATATATGTTTATACACATTACTGTTTACGGAACAATGTTAATTATGGATTTATGGATAACTCCTCGTATAAGAGCAGAGTGAAGGGTGTTTGCCTTTGCTAATGTTTGATGGCGCCATCTGATGTAGAGTAAAATAAATCTAATACGTTGGCTCACTGTAGTGAAAATGCGCGTTGACGAAAAATTTGTCCCACGCCCCCTGGATTCCTTGTCCTAAAGCTCACTATTTAGGCGACGTAAAATTTGTATTAGGTTGTCCAACTATAATATACTTAAAGAATGTTATTATTATTACTATTATTATTATTATTATTATTATTATTTTTTGTTTAGCGCATCCATGAACCAGAACGTCAGCGTGTTCATGTTTAATGGGTGTTTCCTGAACACCATTCGCTTCTACGAGGGCTTCATGGGCCACCGCATCGGGAACGTCACCTGCTTGAACTACCACCCGCTGAAGGTGGCGCTGGCGACGGGAACGTCCGACTGTTCCGTCAGCGTCTACTGCTTGGAGAGCAAGAGGTGACGCGATTCTCAGCCCTAGGCTTCGATATGGAGCTTCCTGGGCTACTACTATTAGCTAGTGAAATTTTCGTTGCTTTTTCGAGCTATTGTACATATTTACGTTAGTCACATTTTATCGTGTATATATAAATTTTAATTGAGGACGCTTTAGCATCATGTAGCTATTACCCGGTTTAATAGTACAGTACAGGGAATTTTGTTGTTAGTTCTTTAAGACTGATTGTTATTTTTTTATGGAACTTGACATCTTTTTATTTTCGTAGATAAGGGGTGAGAGAGGTAGGCCTAGGGGGGTATTCATACGTAGGAGCGTTGTTGAGTAATTTTAAGGCGCGCGATTTGGTTCCGATTGTGATAACTTCAATGCAGCACATAGCTGAGCCTTCGAAACAATTTTTGGTTTTAAACCCTCGAGGAGTACGCTTAGTCGAGCACAGCACACGTACATGCACAAAACGAGACTGTCGAGGGCTTAAGCCGTCTCTACTTAGAATTGAAGGTTCCTTTTTTTGTATAAAGTCGTTCATTTGTGGCCAATAAGTCTTTATTTTATTTAAACTTATGTTACGAATAATAAATATATCACAATTTAAACATTATCGTAGTAAGACAGTTTTCTTTCCTGTGGGGGCGGGGCGATCAAGGGGGCCTCGGATTCGGTCAGATTGAGGTCTTCGACGCTCTTCTGGCAAATCCTCAAGTTGTGAAAGTCAATCGTGGCTCTCAGTATCCTGAAGATGTCAGGCCGGACGTTGAGGAGCGACACCACTTGACCCTTTTTGTGGAAGGTTTTGACAAGGTGGTCGATAGTCTGAAAAAAGTAGTGTAGATGGCGCCACACAGCATTAATCAAAGGCAACTAAGATCTGCCTAGAAATTTTTATTGTTTAGGTTGTGGTGTCCCAATTGAAATTCAAATTTCGCCGCGAAACCGCAATGAACAATTTGAAGTAAATTAAGAAAATCGTTAAACATATATTCAAACTAATTAATTATTAATTGTTTTCTAAGTTTAATAATTTAATTTAATAATATTTTTGCGACTTGATTTAAACATTTATTCTCGAAAAATTTGCAATTTGTGTGTTTTTGTTGTTTTTGAACAAATTAAATTGCGAAAGGTTAGAGAATTTACAAGTTTTTATAAATATTATAAAGACAAACAACTGTTATTTAATAAATAATATTACAGACGTTATAAAGCGTGTTAAAAAATAATTTTCATCTATTTAGAAATGCTGCCACAGCGAAGTGGGCACTGACTTTTGCCGCCTTGTTAAAATGTTATTATGATTAAACTGTCAAATGACGTCACATGTTTAGTTTATGTCATGGAAAAAGGTAAGTGGTGAATTTAGATAGTATTTTAATATATTTCTTTAACTTTTTCTAAAACCTTCCCATAATTTTATTCTTTGGTTATTAATTCCAAGGACACACAGTCGGTACAAGTGCGGACAATTTAAAATTTGTTTAGGAAACATTAAAATATGTAGATGTAATTTTAACATTTTCCCTGTTTTATTTGGTTCTTATTAGATCTCAGGGTTTTATTTTTTTACTCAGAATCACTTTTCATCCAGATTTTTGGAAAAAAAATCAAAATTATAAAACATTTTGCAATTTAATTTTGAATCTGCCAAACTGAATGCTCTGAAATGTTACAGATGTTTTAAAATTTTGGGCAGCATAATAAACTTTTAATCAAAATATATTTGCTTATCCCATCCAAAAAATTGATGACGTCAGCTCAAAATTTTGCCGGATAAATCCTATAATGAATGCGTGAATTTATTTTATTGATTTAATTAGGAACTGAAAAACCGAATCCTTTGAAATCTTGGAGATGTTTTAAAGTCATCATAAGCATTGTAAATTTTTGAATATTCCTATTTTAAATGTGCAAAATATGATGAGTCTATACTTGTGATTTATTTTTAATATATAATAAATATTTTTTTAAATTTGCGTGTACAGAGTGTCTCATAAAAATGATTGACTGAATTGTTAAAAAATAAATATCCAATCAGATTTAGGAATTTAACTCGTTTTTATGGAAATACGCAATTTAACACCGTTTAAATTTAACAAGTTTTTACAAGGTAATAAGCTTAATAGGGGCAAATCAGTCTTAGCAAGTGCTAGCCCCGCCCACCCGCCCCTATTTTCTCAGAGAATATGTCATTTGCCAAAGCAAAGCTTATTGTAGCAAGTAGTACCCTCTGAGAAAATAAAGGGCGGGTGGGCGGGGCTAGTGTTTGCTAACATAAGTCTTATTTTGGCAAATGAGATTCCTCTAAGAAAAGAGAGGGTGGGTGGGCGGGGCTAGTACCTGCTAAGATAAGGCTGATTTTGACAAATGAGATCCCTCTAAGAATCTAGAGGGTGAGTAGCCGGGGCTAGTACTTGGTAAGATAAGACTGATTTTGATAAATGAGATCCCTCGAAGAAAAGAGAGGGTGGGTGGGCGGGGCTAGGACTTCCTATGGTAAGAATGATTTTGGCAAATGACATTCTCTAAGAAAAGAGAGGGTGGGTGGGCGGGGTTAGTACCTGCTATGATAAGGCTGATTTTGGCAAATGAGATCCCCTAAGAATCTAGAGGGTGGGTGGGCGGAGCTAGTACTTGCTAAGATAAGAGTGATTTTGGCAAATGACATACCCCCATGAGTTTTTACTTGGGATTTATCAGTGAATTAATATTTTTTAGATTTGCTTATACAGATTCTTTATACTTTTCGACCAATTTTTTAAAAATGTGAAATCTTCACGGTGGTCCCAATTCTCTATTTTAAAACTGTAAAATCTTCTCGGGGATCCCAATTGTCTTTTTTTAAATGTGAAACCTTCTCGGGAGTCCCGACTGTCTTTTCTAAAAATGTAAAACCTTCTCGGGAGTTCCAAATGTCATTTTTTTAACGTGAAACCTTCTCGGGGGTCACAACTATCTTTTTTAAAAATGTAAAACCTTCTCGGGGGTCCCACCTGTCTTTTTTAAAAATGTAAAACCTTCCCGGGGGCCCCAAATGTTTTTTTTTTTAATGAAAAACCTTCTCGGGGGTCCTAACTGTCTTTTTTTTAATGTGAAACCTTCTCGGGGGTCCCAACGGTCTTTTTCAAAAATGTAAAACCTTCTCGGGGCTAACAACTGTCTTTTTTAAAAATCTAAAACCTTCTCGGGGGTCCCAACTGTCTTTTTTTTAATGTAAAACATTCTCGGGGGTCCCAACTGTCTTTTGTAAAAATGTAAAACCTTCTCGGGGGTCCCAACTGTCTTTTTTAAAAATGTAAAACCTTCTCGGGGGTCCCAACTGTATTTTTCAAAAATGTGAAACCTCGGGGGTCCCAACTGTCTTTTTCAATAATGTAAAACCTTCTCGGGGGTCCCAACTTTTTTTTTTAAATGTAAAACCTTCTCGGGGGTCCCAAATGTTTTTTTTTAATGTAAAACCTTCTCGGGGGTCCCAATGGTGTTTTTCAAAAATGTAAAACCTTCTCGGGGGTCCCAACTGTCTTTTTTTTAATGTGAAACCTTCTCGGGGGTCCCAACGGTCTTTTTCAAAAATGTAAAACCTTCTCGGGGTCCCAACTGTCTTTTGTAAAAATGTAAGACCTTCTCGGGGGTCACAATTGTCTTTTTTAAAAATGTAAAACCTTCTTGGAGGTCCCAACTCTCTTTTTTTTAATGTGAAACCTTCTCGGGGGTCCCGACTGTCTTTTTTAAAAGTGTAAAACCTTCCCGGGGGCCCCAAATATATTTTTTTTAATGTAAAACGTTCTCGGAGGTCCCAACGGTGTTTTTCAAAAATGTAAAACCTTCTCGGAGGTCACAACCGTCTTTTTTAAAAATGTAAAACCTTCTCGGGGGTCCCAACTGTCTTTTTTTTTAATGTGAAACCTTCTCGGGGGTCCCAACGGTCTTTTTCAAAAATGTAAAACCTTCTCGGGGTCCCAACTGTCTTTTGTAAAAATGTAAGACCTTCTCGGGGGTCACAATTGTCTTTTTTAAAAATGTAAAACCTTCTTGGAGGTCCCAACTCTCTTTTTTTTAATGTGAAAACTTCTCGGGGGTCCCGACTGTCTTTTTTAAAAGTGTAAAACCTTCCCGGGGGCCCCAAATATATTTTTTTTAATGTAAAACGTTCTCGGAGGTCCCAACGGTGTTTTTCAAAAATGTAAAACCTTCTCGGGGGTCCCAACTGTCTTTTTTAAAAATGTAAAACCTTCTCAGGGGTCCCAACTGTCTTTTGTAAAAATGTAAAACCTTCTCGGGGGTCCCAACTGTCTTTTGTAAAAATGTAAAACCTTCTCGGGGGTCCCAACTGCCTTTTGTAAAAATGTAAAACCTTCTCGGGGGTCCCAACTGTCTTTTTTTTTTATGTGAAACCTTCTCGGTGGTCCCAACGGTGTTTTTCAAAAATGTAAAACCTTCTCGGGGGTCCCAACTGTCTTTTTTAAAAATGTAAAACCTTCCCGGGGACTCCAAATGTTTTTTTTTTAATGTAAAACCTTCTCGGGAGTCCCAACGGTGTTTTTCAAAAATGTAAAACCTTCTTGGGGGTCCCAACTGTCTTTTTTAAAAATGTAAAACTTTCTGGGGGGTCACAACCGTCTTTTTTAAAAATGTAAAACCTTCTCGGGGGTCACAATTGTCTTTTTTAAAAATGTAAAACCTTCTTGGAGGTCCCAACTCTCTTTTTTTTAATGTGAAACCTTCTCGGGGGTCCCGACTGTCTTTTTTAAAAGTGTAAAACCTTCCCGGGGGCCCCAAATATATTTTTTTTAATGTAAAACGTTCTCGGAGGTCCCAACGGTGTTTTTCAAAAATGTAAAACCTTCTCGGGGGTCCCAACTGTCTTTTTTAAAAATGTAAAACCTTCTCGGGGGTCCCAACTGTCTTCTGTAAAAATGTAAAACCTTCTCGGGGGTCCCAACTGTCTTTTGTAAAAATGTAAAACCTTCTCGGGGGTCCCAACTGTCTTTTTTTTTAATGTGAAACCTTCTCGGTGGTCCCAACGGTCTTTTTCAAAAATGTAAAACCTTCTCGGGGGTCCCAACTGTCTTTTTTAAAAATGTAAAACCTTCCCGGGGACCCCAAATGTTTTTTTTTTAATGTAAAACCTTCTCGGGAGTCCCAACGGTGTTTTTCAAAAATGTAAAACCTTCTCGGGGGTCCCAACTGTCTTTTTTAAAAATGTAAAACCTTCCCGGGGACCCCAAATGTTTTTTTTTTAATGTAAAACCTTCTCGGGAGTCCCAACGGTGTTTTTCAAAAATGTAAAACCTTCTCGGGGGTCCCAACTGTCTTTTTTAAAAATGTAAAACCTTCTGGGGGGTCACAACCGTCTTTTTTAAAAATGTAAAACCTTCTCGGGGGTCCCAACTGTCTTTTTTTTTTAATGTGAAACCTTCTCGGGGGTCCCAACGGTCTTTTTCAAAAATGTAAAACCTTCTCGGGGGTCCCAACTGTCTTTTGTAAAAATGTAAAACCTTCTCGGGGGTCACAATTGTCTTTTTTAAAAATGTAAAACCTTCTTGGAGGTCCCAACTCTCCTTTTTTTAATGTGAAACCTTCTCGGGGGTCCCGACTGTCTTTTTTAAAAATGTAAAACCTTCCCGGGGGCCCCAAATATATATTTTTGAATGTAAAACCTTCTCGGGGGTCCCAACGGTGTCTTTCAAAAATGTAAAACCTTCTCGGGGGTCCCAACTGTCTTTTTTAAAAATGTAAAATCTTCTCGGGGGTCACAACCGTCTTTTTTAAAAATGTAAAACCTTCTCGGGGGTCCCAACTGTCTTTTTTTTTAATGTGAAACCTTCTCGGTGGTCCCAACGGTCCTTTGTAAAAATGTAAAACCTTCTCGGGGGTCACAACTGTCTTTTCTAAAAATGTAAAACCTTCTCGGGAGTCCCAAATGTCTTTTTTTTAATGTGAAACCTTCTCGGGGATTACAACTATCTTTTTTAAAAATGTAAAATCTTCTCAGGGGCCCCAAATGTCTGTATTGAGCATGTGAAACCTTCTCAGGATTACCAACTTTCCGTTTGACCTCCTTTTTGTCTATTACACTGTCACTAGTACCTTCTATATTGTTTTGATTCCATAGAGGTTATCGCGAAAAATTAAAATTCGGCAAAAATCAAATTTTATAATTGTTCAGAAAAGTATTATTTGTTGGACTGTACTTCAGAAGCGAGGGAAGTTCAGTCGAAATAACTTCCGACCATTTTTTTAAATTTGTGATATTCAAATTATTTTCATTTTTCAAGGTTGGAGAGGATATTTTTTTAATTTAAATTGCATATAATTTTTTTACCAAAACTGAAGATACTAGATATTATGTCACGGGAATTCATATAGATCGCAGCGAAGCCAGATTTTAGTTGGCCATGTGTCAACTTACTTCGCAGGCGGCGTAGTCCACCCGGATGACATTCGAACAGTCCAAGACGATGGGGAGGTTGTTGGTGATGTTGTAAGCTTCGAGGATGGTGGTGGTGAGGTGGTCGGTGGCGGCGTAGTATAGACCAATTTCGGGTTTTATGTAAATGTATTGGTTTCCGTGGTGGTCCTAAAATCACCAATAAAACAGCGTTATGAAGACACGTGATAACTCCATCTGTTCGGTAAACGCGCTATAATCTAAGTAATATTTGTTATAATATAAAAACTCACTAGACGAATTTCCTTCAGAATTTGTGGCCTCGCCCACGCTTTAAGCAAAATCAGCAAATTCATAAGCCCTCCTGCGATAATCCCGATTTCCACGCCATAGCAAACTCCTACTATCAGTGTAGAAAGCGTCAAAACAAAATCGAATTCTAAAAAAAACCAGTAAATCCCACTTAATGCACCTGCTTGTTTACCCACTGCTACACTTCCAGAGCTTGGGAAAGATTTTGTAATCAAACATCGTCACAATCGCCGCTATCAAAACCGCCGCCAGCGTCGACCTCGGAATGTAGTAGAAATACGGGGTCAGGAAACTCAGCGCCAGCAGGATAACCGTCCCCGAGTAGACCCCCTGTAGCGGGGTGCGCACCCCGCTGCTGCTCGCCACCGCCGACCTGGTGAACGCCCCGCAGCTGGGCATCGCCTGCACGAACGCCCCGAAGACGTTACAAAGCCCCAGCGTCATCATCTCTTGCGTAGCGTCCACAATTACTCCGCTCGCTTCAAAAATAGCACCGCAAATATTTATTTAAATCAATTTTAGTTCGTGACGTGCACATCAGCAAATATTTGCGTCGACAACACACAAAGCGGGATTCCTCAAGGCCTCCTGGACTTACCGAACGACTTGGCTATGGCCACGTTGGCCAGCACGGCGGCGATGGGGAGCACGACGATGCTGGAACCCAGAGTTTGCACCATTTCGAAAAACGAGACGGTGTGGTTACCGTTCTGGGAGCTGAAGGGGGGCGGGTGCACGCTGGGCAGGCCCGAGGGGACGGCGCCGGACAGCACGAAGGGCGAGCCGTCGCCGTACTCGTGGAGGTAGAAAGCGACGAGCGAAGTCAGCAGGACGACGAGGGCGTTCTTGGAAATCGAGAGCAGCCAGAGGGTTTTCTTGACGACGGGGTTGTGGGTGCGGATGTTGGGGAGCTGCTTGAAGGCGAAGAGGAAGGCGATGCAGGCGAAGCCGAGGAGGGTGTCCGGGAGGCGGATTTCGCGGTAGCGGACGAAGATCTTGTGCCACACGTCGAAGAAGCCGTGGTTGGTGAGTTTGCGCAAGCCGAGGAGGTTCTTGAGCTGCGAGGTGACGATGGTGACGGACATGGCGGAGGTGAAGCCCGAAGTCACACACGGGGAGATGAAATCCACCAAGAACCCTATTCGTAACCCCACATTCTAAAAAATAGTTCAGTGGGTCGAACTACCTCACCTAGTTTGAGGACTCCCATGAGGAACTCCACGCAGCCGCACAGAAAGGTGAGGAGGATGACGTATTCGACGGGGAGGTCTTCGGTGTACGAGAAAGTTAGCAGCGCCATTAAGCTAGTGGGGCCGATGGAGACTTCTTTGATGGTTCCGAAGAAGACGTAGGTGAAGGAGCCGATGAAGGCGGTGTAGAGGCCGTATTGTGCCGCGAGGCCTGCCAAGTTTGCGTAGGCTATGGATTGGGGCATCATGGTGAGGCCTACTGTGAGTCCGGCTATGAAGTCTGCCACTATGTCGGATTTTGTGTACTTCGGAAGCCATTGCAGGATGCGAATCCGACGGAAGAGTTGGGTTTTTAAAGAGAATTTGTTCTTGGGTTTTTCGATGGGTTTTGACACTGAGAATTGGGTTATGAGATTTTTCTTTACACACAGTATTTTAAGTACTTTTTTGCTTAAAAATTGTTTTGTCATTTTGAGAGAGCAGTAAATTTTAAGATGGAATTTTAAATTTTTATGAACTACTTTGATATAGTTATTTTTTTATGATGTTATGGCGTACTCAGCACGAAAATAACCTCTTTGCCCTTCTTTGTTATCTTCAGACATAACTTGAACAATTTTATAGTTTTGTTTATTTCTTTGTAAATTTTTATTAATGGATTTTTGACGCTAGTTCTCATATTTCAAATTAAATAATTAAAAATCTTTAAAACTAATAACCTTTTCACACAAAAAAATACTGAAGTTAATTAACATAAAACAGGCTTCATTTTTTCTACAATTTAATTAAATTTTTATGACAATTAGCTTATACCGTGTGTCCGGAAAATGGCGAATTAACCCTTCGGGGGTTTTAGGAGTCCCAAAAAATAATACAGAAAATGTATAAAAGTAAAATTGGCAACACTGCACGCACATAATGCGTGAATACCTGTAGCTTAATTTCTGATTTCTTAGTAAAGATGGTGACTGAAGTCCACCTTTTATTTTTTTTAGAACAATAGCCATAATAACCATTCATTAATAAATAAACCAAAAAAAAAATTTAATAAGACATTTGTAAATTATAACAAAAAACAAAACCAACAAAAGATAAAAAACTTGAAACATAACCAACCAAACGCTAGAGAAAATGTTCAAAATTTCTGCCTTGTGCATATAAGTAAGCCCATAATGTTTCCAAATTTTGATCATTTTTTGTAAAAGTAAGCTAAGTTTAGCATTTTTCTAGTTTTATGAGCAAACAGTAGCCCCACCCACCCACCCCCTCGTCATTTCAGTGACTATTCTTAATATTGTTCAGTTCTGCCTTGGCAAATTTTAATCCCGCCCACCCACCCTTTATTTTCTTGGAGGATATGTCATTTATCAAAGTCAGTCTTTTCTTATCAAGTACCAGCCCCGCCCACTCGCCCTTTATTTTTTTATAAGGTATATCATTTGCCACACTCAGTCTTATCTTAGCAAATACTAGAGAAAATTTTCAAAATTCCTGCCTTGCGCATGTAAGTAAGCGCGTGCTATTTCCAAATTTTGATAATTTTTTGTAAAATTTGGTCATCAGTACTTTTTAAGGATAAAACTGATTGTGGCAAATGACATATCCTCTAAGAAAAAAGAGGGTGGGTGGGCGGGGCAAATACCTGCTAAGATAAGACTAATTTTGGCAGATGACATATCCTCTAAGAAAAGAGAGGGTGGGTGGGCGGGGCTAGTACGTGCTAAGATAAGACTGATTTTGGCAAATGAAATATCATTTAAGAAAAGAGAGGGTGGGTGGGCGGGGCTAGTACCTGATAAGATAAAATTGATTTTGGCAGATGACACATCTTCTAAGAAAAGAGAGGGTGGGTGGGCGGGGCTAGTACCTGCTAAGATAAGACTAATTTTGGCAGATGACATATCCTCTAAGAAAAGAGAGGGTGGGTGGGCGGGGCTAGTACGTGCTAAGATAAGACTGATTTTGGCAAATGAAATTCCCTTTAAGAAAAAAGAGGGTGGGTGGGCGGGGCAAATACCTGCTAAGATAAGACTAATTTTGGCAGATGACATATCCTCTAAGAAAAGAGAGGGTGGGTGGGCGGGGCTAGTAACTGTTAAGATAAGAGTAATTTTGGCAGATGAGATATCAATAATAATAATAATAATAATAATAATAGTTTATTGTCAAACAGAACTGTTCCAATAGAGACACTAAAAAATATAAGAGAATTGATGGCTACATTAAATGTACTCTCCTTACAATTAAAAATATCTAAATTAACTGGCAGATTGTTTATATTAATTTTATTAACAACAGAGCTATTTAAACCAAAATTAGTTTTTCTAAAGGGACAAACAAATATATCGCGGTTTCTGTTATTAACTAAAGGCGCTTTGAAATTTAAAAGCAACAAAAGCTGTGGACAGTCTATTTGATTATGCAAGAGTTTAAACCCAAATCGTAGCTTAAATTTCAAAACGTGTTTCAAAAGTGCTTCCAATTCCGTTAGATTAAGTCTCTGATCATCCTCTAAGAAAAGAGAGGGTGGGTGGGCGGGGTTAGTGCCTGCTAAAATAAGGCTGATTTTGGCAAATGACATACCTTCTAAGAAAAGAGAGGGTGTTTTATCTTAACAGCTATCAGCCCCACCCACCCACCCTCTCTTTTCTTAGAAGGTATGTCATTTGCAAAATCAGCCTTATCTTAGCAGGCACTGGCCCCGCCCACCCACCCTCTCTTTTCTTAGAGGGTATGTCATCTGCCAAAATTACTCTTTTCTTAGCAAGTACTAGCGCCGCCCACCCACCCTCTCTTTTTTTAAAGGGTACGTTATTTGCCAAAATTACTCTTATCTTAGCAAGTACTAGCCCCGCCCACCCACCCTCTCTTTTCTTATAGGGTATGTTATTTGCCAAAATCACTCTTATCTTAGCAGGTACTAGCCCTGCCCACCCACCCTCTCTTTTCTTAGAAGGTATGTCATTTGCAAAATCAGCCTTATCTTAGCAGGCACTAGCCCCGCCCACCCACCCTCTCTTTTCTTAGAGGGTATGTCATCTGCCAAAATTACTCTTTTCTTAGCAAGTACTAGCGCCGCCCACCCACCCTCTCTTTTTTTAAAGGGTACGTTATTTGCCAAAATTACTCTTATCTTAGCAAGTACTAGCCCCGCCCACCCACCCTCTCTTTTCTTATAGGGTATGTTATTTGCCAAAATCACTCTTATCTTAGCAGGTACTAGCCCCGCCCACCCACCCTCTCTTTTCTTATAGGGTACGTTCTTTGCAAAAATCAGTATTATCTTAGCAGGTACTAGCCCTGCCCACCCACCCTCTCTTTTCTTAGAAGGTATGTCATTTGCAAAATCAGCCTTATCTTAGCAGGCACTAGCCCCGCCCACCCACCCTCTCTTTTCTTAGAGGGTATGTCATCTGCCAAAATTACTCTTTTCTTAGCAAGTACTAGCGCCGTCCACCCACCCTCTCTTTTTTTAAAGGGTATGTTATTTGCCAAAATCACTCTTATCTTAGCAGGTACTAGCACCGCCCACCCACCCTCTCTTTTCCTAGAGGGTATGTCATTTGCCAAAATCACACATTAGGGACTCCCAAGATTTTTTTATATTCTTAAAGAAAAAGGTACCCGAGGCCCGCGAGATTCTACATTCTTAAAAAAAGGTACTAGGAACCTCCAAGATTTTCCAAACTCTTTTAAAAACAAGATACTAAGAATCTTCAAGACCCTTCTTCAAACTCTTTTAGAAACAAGGCATAAAGGGGTTTCCAAAAAAAAGACACTAAGGGATCCCAAGACTGTTTCAAACTTTTTCAGAAACAACACACAAAGGACCCCAAAATTTTTTCCCACTCTTTAAAAAAATATACAGTGGGGCTTCCTAAGATTGTTTCAAACTCTTTTAAAAAGAAGACACCAGGGACTCTCAAGATTTTTTACATTCTTAAAGAAAAAGGTACTTGGGGCCCGCGAGATTCTACATTCTTAAAAAAAGGTACTAGGAACCTCCAAGATTTTCCAAACTCTTATAAAAACAAGATACTAAGAATCTTCAAGACCCTTCTTCAAACTCTTTTAGAAACAAGGCACAAAGGGGCTTCCAAAAAAAAGACACTAAGGGATCCCAAGACTGTTTCAAACTTTTTCAGAAACAACACACAAAGGACCCCAAAATTTTTTCCCACTCTTTAAAAAAATATACAGTGGGGCCTCCGAAAATTGTTTCAAACTCTTTTAAAAAGAAGACACCAGGAACTCCCAAGATTTTTTACATTCTTAAAGAAAAAGGTACTTGGGGCCCGCGAAATTCTACATTCTTAAAAAAAGGTACTAGGAACCTCCAAGATTTTCCAACATCATTTAAAAACAAGACACTAAGAATCTTCAAGACCCTTCTTCAAACTCTTTTAGAAACAAGGCACAAAAGGGCTTCCAAAAAAAAGACACTAAGGGATACCAAGACTGTTTCAAACTTTTTCAGAAACAACACACAAAGGACCCCAAAATTTTTTCCCACTCTTTAAAAAAATATACAATGGGGCCTCCTAAAATTGTTTCAAACTCTTTTAAAAAGAAGACAGCAGGGACTCCTAAGATGTTTTACATTCTTAAAGAAAAAGGTACTTGGGGCCCGCGAGATTCTACATTCTTAAAAAAAGGCACTAGGAGCCTGCAAGATATTTCACATTTTTTTTAAACAAGACACTAAGGAGCTTCAAGACTGCTTCAAATTCGTTTAAAAAGAAGACAGAAAGGGGCTTCCAAAAAAAAAGGACACCAAGGGTTCCCAAGACTGATTCAAACTCTTCCAAAAACAAAACACAAGGGACTCCAAAATTTGTTCACACTCTAAAAAAAAAAAACAAACAGTGGGGCCTCCTAAGATTGTTTCAAACTCTTTTAAAAAGAAGACACAAAGGGGCTTCCAAAAAAAAAAAAGACACTAGGGGCTCCCAAAACTGTTTCAAACTTTTTCAAAAACAGAACACAAGGGACCCCAAAATTTTTTTACACTCTTTGAAAAAATACAGTGGGGCCTCTTAAGATTGTTTCAAACTCTTTTAAAAAGAAGACACCAGGGACTCCCAAAATTTTTGAGACAGGTACTTGGGGGCCGCAAGATTATTCTTTCAAAAAAAAGGCATTAGGAGCCTCAAAATATTTCAAAATCTTTTAAAAACAAGACTTAAAGAGCCCCCGAGATTCTTTCTCATTTTTAAAAGACACAAAGGTTGGTTTTAAGAACAAGACAGAAAGGGACTTCCAAAAAAACCACTAAGGGCTCCAAAGAATTATTCCACATTCCTTAAAAAACACAATAGGGGTTGCACAATTTTTGATTGACGTCATTAACTTTGTGGAAGGGCTGAACAAATAAATTAAAAATAAAAATCATTGTTCTGTTATAGTGAAATTAATCTTAATAAATTGTCAACATTTCAAAATAGTTCCTGTGTAAACTCTAAAACACACAACAGATTGTAATGTAAAGTTTGTTTCCACAAATTTGATTTATTTTTACGATAATTCTGATACTTATCATTAAAAATATATAAATTTCAACACGACTGACATAGACAAATTTTACGATGTCGTCACTGGGTTTTTGGGAGGTTTGAACTGATGCAGTCTGATTAGCGATTTATCATACTACACGGTGTTGCAGGTAAATCATTTATTTAATCTCCGCAATTCTGAGAATTGTTGTTAATTTGACAATTTTATAACTTTTTGGATGATTACGCAAGTTTTTTTTAATTAAATTTTCCAAATCAATCAATCGTACGTCAATACCACAAGCAGCCAACATCCTTAATTAATATAATTAATTAATTCGAAGCAACCCCTTAGCAATATTAAAAACGAAAAAAAATTATACTTACTTTTGTGAAAGTTTTCTTTCAGCACAATCACACAACCAAATGAGCCGTAATAAAACAGACCGTGAAATTTTAAGTAAATTTAAGTAGAATTAAGTAAAGAATCAACAACAAGACGTTACAATTTATTACATCGCTTTAACCGACAAGGTTAAGACCAATATTAGTCCACTATTTGCTCAGATCTTAACTCCCGTTCTCTGGAATTTTTTTCCATGACTGAAATCTTCGAAACCTTGTCGTAAACAATAAGCCTTCTTCGGTCTCTTCACCACGCTCCACATACGAAATTCCGCCTTTATCTGTTCTCGTTACGGAATAAACCGCGCTCCACGTCGTCAAAATAAAACGAATCTTTATCAGTAACAATTTATTATCAACAAGCCACAATTTTAAAATAACAAAACCATTAAGTATCACCGCTGATCCGACACCCAACTCAACATTACCTCCCTTCAACAAAATCTTAACTAAACAGTTGTTTAAAAGTACGAGGAAAAAAGTACATTGTCGTTTGTATAAATATAAAAAAATAGTACGCTCTGTTAAAACTGTGGCACTGTACAGGGGAAAGGAAGAGAGCTAGGCTTTGCTCGTGTACACTGGGCTATTCTAGGGACTTTGTTGCGATTACACTCGTTGTCGCAATACGCGGAACTAGATCTGGTGACTTTAGTAACTTTCGGGTTATATTCACTGAGCTAGTCTGACTAGTTCCGCGTATTGAAGGTAAATATGGTATACTGTGCGTGCGATATTCGTTTGACACATTACTAGCAGTCTTACTACGCTAAAACTAGCGACCGATTTTTGTCTCTGCTGGATTTTGAGCAGCTCGGCTCCTAGTGAACACACTTTGTACTAAAACTACAGGCTTCGCACGGGCTTTCGGTGGCTTGTCTAGGCCGGAAGGTGCAAGGTGACCTTAATACTTTGTTGCTAAGATAAGAGACAGCAGTCTTGGGGTTATTGTATTGTTTCGAAATAGTATAGGATTAGGAAAAGCCGATGTTTGTTGCGTTTTACGTATGTAGAAACATTGTTTTTGGTCCAGCTTCGTTGAAAATACGTTGGTGATTTTACGACTACTATTGGCAGTACTGCTTCGGACTGATTTTATAGGACGTGGCCATGAAAGCAACAACATTTAATATTTACTCGAATTAATACGAATGGCTTACCCTGAACTTGAGTCTACGTGGAAAAAAAAAACAAGTCGGGTCGTTGACGTTTTAACTAAAAAAATATGGGTGATTATTAAAATAGTACAGCAAAAAGTGGTTGGCAGCACTGCTTTCAATAATTATTTGAATTAATCACCATATTTTTTTCAACTCTTTATCCACAGCTCAGGGTAACCTTTTGTTCCAGATAACCTTCACAGTCTATGAAGACATCACAGCTCTAATTTAGGCCACGGTCACTAATAACGACTTATTATAAAACTAACCTCACTTCCGGTAACCTTATCTTCCCAAAAGCTCCTCTGACCTGATAAAGCTACAATAAATCAAGTAGGTTAGCTTCAAGCGCCACCTGCGAAACCCTCATTGCACCTCCCCTAAAACTGCTCCGCCCCTAGCACCGAAAGCACCTCCTCGTACGTCAGCCAGAAGCTTAGTGACCACGGCGCCATTCGCATCCAGATCGGGAGGAACCCCTTATAAAGTGCCCCGAAACCCTCGTTCCGCACCGTTTTCTGGAAACAATCGATTGACGACCGATACAGCAAGCCCCGCCCCTTGTCGTCCATTGGCTGATTCATGACCCGCGTCTTCACCACGTCGGCCGGCGTGCCCATGGAGGCGGCGACAAAGCCGGCGCAGCAGCTGGCCAAGCAGTGCACGAAGTGGTTATCCTCCAGCGAGGTGTTGCGCAAGATAAAGCGCTTCGCCGAGTCGTACGTCGTCAGGTCCCCCAGGTTGACCAACGCCGCCCGCTGCACGTTCGGGATGGAACCCTTCCACAACCCGCGGTAGCCCGCCGCCTCCACGGTCTTGCGAAAAGCGTCGAAGAAGCCGTCCACGCGCGGCGCCAGCCCCAGGATCTTGCGCTTGCCCTCCATCTGCAGCTGCACCTTAAGCAAGTCCGTGGGGCTGGCGATGTACTGGGCGAACGCGCCGGCGGACACGCCGCACACGGCCGACTTCCACACCGGGAAGTACTCCTCGGAGTGGTTCTTACCGAAGAGCTTCTCCTTGAGGGTCTTATAGGTGACGATGCGAGTCCCGGAGTAGATGAGGTGGCGGTACAAAGCGGCGTGGGCGCCTTGCCACAGCTTGAGGAAGCCCTCCTCTTTGACGATGCCGAGGGCGGTCTTGAAGAGACCCCGGTAGGGGGCGCGGACCATCTTCGAGTCCTTCTCGTTGGCGATTTCACCCTGTATTTGCAGTCTTGTTTTCGTTAAATCTAAGGGGTAAGTCACTGCAATTCAAAGCCGGAGTTAGGCGTGACACGAGAGGCGGGGCGGGAGGGGAGGAGCCACAAGGGGCGGAGCCAAGGAGGAGGGTTTTCAATTCTTTCACTCATTTTATTAAAGTTATTAACAAAAAAATTAAAAATAAAGTGATAAATACTCAATTTCGGTACGCTTAAAACCCCGAAAGTGCCTCTGATAAGCCCCCAATTAAATTGCAGTGGAACAAAGTCTCTCCAGGTCAAAGTCATCTCTCAAGGATACAAGTATAAATCAAAATAAATTAAGGAACAACAGCACCACGCCAAATGTTCGTCTAAAAATAGCTCAAACTTTCCACGGTTCGTACAAAGGTGTTCAAGCGGAGGAAGGACAATTTTTCACAAGTCAATTCAATCTGCATTCCCTAAACTTAGCACTGACAAAAATCTATTTTTACCTAACTCCGCGTTCCAGGCGGCCACCACGGACACCATATAGGTACACCATAGCGAATTGACATACTTGAACTCCTTCTGGGGCGGAACGGGCGGCATCTTCACCAAAAATCCTGCAAAGACACTGAGTCAAAGGGGGGCAAAGTTCAAACTTTCCCGCACAAGTGAATGACATGAGGGCTCGGTGCACTTTGCCCGGCGACACGAGCGAGCGGAACGGGGTCGGAAAAAGCGGAAAAGCTTTCTCTGCTGGGTAAAAATCGCGAAAAACACTGTTATGTCAACACGACAACATAACCTAGAAGTGTGACGTGGGGGGGGGGGTTGGCGGGTGCCGGGGTGACGCGACGGCGGCTCGGGGGGCGAACTCACCATTTATTTCGGTGCGACTTCCGCAACTTCATTAGTTAAAGTAAATAACGAATCGGTGGTAGATAACAATTAGCATGGTAGGGACTTTGGCGGCGGGTTGTTGGTGACGTGTGACGTGGATTGGCTGCAGTGTGTCGTGACAGGTCGTATCCGGCGCGGCGAAAAGTAGTCCGGGCTGATTTACGACAATTTCGCTTTTTTGGCAGCTGTCGTTATCGGTGGGTGTTCGAACTCGCGCGGCTATAATATCCAGCGATTGTGGGATTAGTGGGTTTGTGGAATTCGGAGTTATCGCGAGGTGATACTGCTGATAAGATATTCCTACGCCGCCATTGGCCAGTGTTGAATTTCACCATTGACAGAAGGGAGGGTTCTCGTTTAGGTGTAAAAACCCAACAAAAACACCAAATAAAGTGACTGCACTTCCTCGAAATGTGCTTTATTTCGGACTATGAAGCAGACTTTTAGTGCTCCGAGTGATAAAAATCGCTAGGGACGCGACCGGTGCTGTTTGACTTTTTCGCTCTTGTGCTTTTACTTTTATTTGTGATAAGGACAAAGTCGGGGTTTCACAATGGAAGCGATAGCGAAACACGAATTCAACGCAACGGCTGACGATGAACTCAGTTTTAAGAGGTCCCAGGTCCTAAAGGTACCCCCTCCCGTTCGCAAAGACTGCCAAAAATAACCAAATTTTCGCAGATCCTGAACATGGAAGACGACATGAACTGGTACAGGGCCGAACTCGACGGCAGAGAGGGCCTAATCCCGAGCAATTACATTGAAATGAAGAACCACAGGTAAATCACAACACCTTGACAGGTCACATGACAATAACAATTGCTGCTTCAACAGCTGGTACTATGGCCGCATTACGAGAGCCGACGCCGAAAAACTATTATTAAACAAACATGAAGGGGCCTTTTTGATACGTATTAGCGAGTCCAGTCCTGGAGACTTCTCCTTGTCCGTAAAGTGAGTATTCACACGTGCAAAACCCCAAAAAACAAGCAACAATTGACATACTTGAAAAAACTATGCAATCAAACAAATACTAGAAGATAACCCAAAACGGTTGAAGTGCATATTTGTACTATAACAAAACAGCATGGGTTAGAAGTCTTTCGCACGCGCCAGCAGATGGCGCAACTGTCGCAAACGTCATTGAAACGTCATACTTGTGGTTTCAGATATTGTGCAAGGTTGACACGATAACAGTGGGATTTTTTGTAATCCGGAACTGGGAGTGGGTGTTTGTTATCAGTAAACATTTTTAGCGTAATTTTCGGGATAAACCAGGTCCAAATGCGGAATCTCCGTTTGATGTTTGCAGGTGTTCGGACGGCGTCCAACATTTCAAGGTGCTAAGGGACGCCCAGGGTAAGTTCTTCCTCTGGGTGGTCAAATTCAACAGTCTCAACGAGTTAGTTGAATATCACCGAACGTCCTCAGTCTCGCGTTCACAAGACGTGAAGCTCAGAGACATGATAGCTGAAGAGGTTTGTTTTGGGTGTTTTTGTCGCTTTGTCTAACGATGGTTGATTTTAGTGCCTAGTGCAAGCCTTATACGATTTCACCCCCCAAGAAGCAGGCGAGCTGGAGTTCAGACGAGGCGACGTCATAACAGTGACGGATCGCTCGGATCAGCACTGGTGGCACGGGGAGATCGGACATCGTCGGGGGCTGTTCCCGGCGACTTACGTAACGCCTTATCACACATAATGTAGAAGATAGGGTTGATTTGAAGGCATTATTCACTGTTACAACCTGCAAACTGTAGGCTTTTCGGTTTCAGATATTACCTTTTTTAAAGTTATATGTGATTTTAATTTCTCTTTTAATTGCTCATTAATTTGGAAAAGAATCTTTTTAACGTAGATTTAAGATCAGGTATTTTTATATTGGATCGAATTGTACTGAAAAAGCGTAAATTTATTAATCTTCAGTTTGATAGGTTATGGATATATAGCGCTTAATTTCTAGGTAGTGTAATGACAGTTTGCTTGATCTTTGCATTGTTTTTCCAATAAGCAACGAAAGTTCGTAGGAGTGAAAGTTTCCTTTTGCGTCCAGAGTTATACATACGACTTTTTCCTATAGCACTACAATATCGTATTTTTTAGTAAAACAGATGCCATTTTTATTATTTTATTTCGTTAATTTTAATGAAGTTTTGAAGTCCTTTCAAATTTTTATTTGTATATAATGACACGAGATTATGCCAGATTTTTTTTTTCTAATCTGAGTTCTGCGAATTATTTGGCATTTTCTTGCTTTGACAGTAGACTTTGTATGTAAATACTAACATAGTTTTATTATTACAACATTGCATTATTATAAGTGAATACGAGGAAATATATGTTATATAAAGAGCACTAGTTTCATTACCCAAAACGTGTCGTTTGGCTACTCTTCATAAATTTTCGGCGAATCGCAATTCATTTCAAATTCTCTAGTTTCATTTGAATTGCGCGCGCCGCGTTCTGTCATTTTCACAGCCACCAACATAACAACCTCACAATTCCCCACCATCTCTTTTCGGCAAGAATCGAATCCCTGTGGCATCAGCTCACGTAAGTCTTTATCATTTTCCACAAAAATCTAACCCATCCGTTTAGTTTCTACCATTAACGGACACCTCAAACCCAAATAGTGCTAACTTCATCCATATAATCAGGTATTTTGTTGAATTTTTCGAAAATTTGATAAAACTTTTTACGAATCAACATAACCTATAAGTTGCACATTACATGTTTTTTGATGTTTGTAGTCGAAACTCGGCTCAAACACACTAACCATCGTCACGAATATCGCAGCAATTAATTCAAACCTAACCTCCAATTTCCAGGTTAGTCGTAACTCAAATCTAACGCAAAGATGTCGGGAGGTCTAGAAGTCCTCAGCCTCAAAGAGGATGACGTGACCAAGATGTTAGCCGCTGGAACCCACCTCGGCACCTCCAACGTGGACTTCCAAATGGAACAGTACGTCTACAAACGCCGCGCTGACGGCATCCACATCATCAATCTACGCAAAACTTGGGAAAAATTGCTGTTGGCGGCACGTGCTATCGTCGCAATCGAACACCCGTCTGAAGTTTTCGTGATTTCGTCCAGACCCTACGGACAGAGGGCTGTGTTGAAGTTTGCCGCTCACACTGGGGCTACCCCCATCGCTGGAAGGTTCACCCCCGGTGAGTTACCATTTTGATATACACAAACCCCGAAACCACGTGATGATACTACTAAGGAACCTATGAGTCATGATTTTACTTCAATAACTGATTACACTATAGTAATTAGATAGCGCTAAAGCTAGTTTCGTGTTTCTGACGAATTTTTGTTACAGGTGCCTTCACCAATCAAATTCAGGCCGCGTTCAGAGAGCCCCGTCTCCTCATCGTGACCGACCCAGCCTACGACCACCAACCCATCACGGAAGCTTCGTATGTCAACATTCCCGTCATTGCCTTCTGCATTACTGACTCGCCCCTAAGGTTCGTGGATATCGCGATCCCCGGTAACAACAAGGCGGCACACAGTATTGGACTGTTGTGGTGGATGCTCGCCCGTGAGGTAACTATCGCTTTGGTCACCACTAATATTAATAAAATAAAATGATGAGAAAACTGTTCCCAAACAATTTTTGATCATCCATGATCGTAAATTTTTCCACCTGATTTGTTTAGTTTTTTTGTGTTCACCATGGTGTGTTGTACTTTTGTTAAAATGGTGCTTTATTGATAGGTTCTCCGTCTGCGTGGGCTCATCCCCCGCGAGACCAAATGGGACGTAGTCGTCGATTTGTTCTTCTACAGGGAGCCCGAAGAGGCCGAGAAGGAAGAGCAAGCGGCTAAAGAGGCCGTCGTGGTGAAGCCCGAGGTGGTCACACACGAGCCCCAGGACCTCGAGTGGAATACCCTTGAAAACCAGGACTGGACGGCCACCGAGCCGCAGCCTGCTGTGCCTGTGCCCGCGGCTGGACCGTTCCCGGCGCCGACGACCGACGACTGGGCCGCCCAGGTGCAGGAAGAGTGGGGGGCCAACGCTACAGCCACGCAGCCCGCCGCACAACCCAACTGGGGCGGCACTGCCTCCGAATGGCATTAATTTTATCTGACTTGTTTTAAAGATCAATAAAAGAAATTTGAGGATGGGAGTGTTAGAATAGAAAGAAACCTTGTCCTTCCAGTTGTTTATCCATCCAAGTTATGTCTAAGTGACTAGCGATTCCCTTCTTTTGCAAGTTTTGAACTTGAAGAGGCTGCGGCGATTCCCCGCTGCAAACAGTTCGGACTTGGTAAGGCAACAGGTAGGTGGTATTCGTTTTAAAGGAAACCCTCTTTTTATTTTATATGTAATGACTAATGAGTCAGTGGTCATCTTGTTTAATTAACTAATGATGAGCTGCTGACGTAGTGAGTGGTAGTACTGTGGCGATTCCCCTCGTCTTATGTGTTCGAACAAAGTGAAGTTGAAGTTTATTTTTTTTGATCCATATTTGTCTACAAGAATTTACCATTTTAAACGTGTTTTAAGTTTCTAAGAATAAAAAAAAATACAATTGAGACGGAGTGGGTGGGTGGGCTTTATATTTTGCCTTTTTTTTTTTAATAAACGTAGTATTCTTTGAACAACACGATACTCAAAAACATCTTTTTAATTTGTCGTAGAGAAATAAGGATTTTGCAGTTAAGCTCCGCCCCCTTGGCTCACGACGAATAAAAAAATGACCACAATTGAGATAGGGCGGGTGGGCGGGCTTACATTTTGCCTTTTTGTTTTAATATGTGTAAACTTCTTTTCACAACATGAACTTTAAAACATGTTTAATATGGAAATTTTATTTTTCGATTTTTCTGATTTTTGATTTTCAATTTTTCGATTTTCTAACTTTCGATTTATGAAGTTTTCAATGTTTCAGTTTTTGGATTTTTCAGTTTTTTTATTCCTTAATTTTTCGATTTTTTTCAGTTTTTCAATTTTTCAATTACTGAATTTTTCGGTATTTCAGTGTTCGATTTTTTAATTTTCCTATAAATTTTCGGTTTTTTGACTTCTCAATTTCCCGAAAAATCGATTTTTTGGTTTTCTCATTTTTCGATTCTTCAATATTGTGATTTAAAAATTTTTCGATTCAATTTTTCAATTTTTGACGATCCTGATTTTTCGATTTTTTGATTTCTCAATTTCTCGATCAATCGATTTTTGTTTTTTCGACCGTTCGATTTCTCGATTTTTCACGTTTTGATTTTCGATATTTTGATTTTCTCATTTCTAGATTTTTCAATGTTTCGATTTTTCGATTTTTTATTTTTTTAATCCTTCAGTTTTTCGATTTTTTAATTTTTGTTTTTTTCAGGTTTTGGCTTTTCAAGTTTTCAAATTTTTTGCCTTTTCGATTTTACAATTTTTCGATGTCAATTTTGGGATTTTTCAATATTTCCATTCTTCGACTTTTCGATTTCCTGATCTTTACTTTTTCAATTTTGCAATATTTTGATTTTTAAGTTTAAAATTTTTCAATTTTAGATTTCTTATTAGTTTTTCAATGTTTCGAATTTTTGATGCTTCGATTTCTCGGTTTTTCGATTTTTCAATTTTTTAGGTTTTTAAATTTTCGGTTTTTGATTTCTCGGTTTCTCGATTAATGGATTTTTTGATTTTTCAACTTTTTAATTTCTGAATTATTAGATATTTTAATTTATCAAGTTTTTCGTTTCCTCAGTTTTCTTTCAATTTTGCGATTCTGTAATTTCTCGATTCTTCAAATTTTCGATTTCTCTATTTTTTCATATTCCAGTTTCTCTAATTTCTGATGTTTCAGTTTTACGAATTTTCAATTTTTCGATTTTTAAAGTTTTCGATTTTTCAATTTTTGACGTTTCTAAATTTTCGATTGTTTGATTTCTGAATTTCTAGTTTGATCGATTTTGTTTTTTTGACTTTTCGATTTCTCGATTGATTTTCATTTTTTTTTAGTTTTTCAGTCGTTCAATTTTTCGAATTTTCAATTTTTGTTTGTTAGGTTTTTGATTTTCAATTTTTCGATTTTATAAATTTTTGATTTTTCGACTTTTTTTTTCTCAATTTTTCAACTTTCGATTTCTGAAATTTTCAATGTTTCAGTTTTCGGATTTTTCAGTTTTTATTCCTTTATTTTTCGATATTTCAATGTTGTGATTTTTCGATTCTTTAATTTCTCGATTTTTCAATTTTTCGATTCTTTAGTTTTTCTATAAATTTTCGGTTTTTTGACTTCTCAATTTCTTAATAAATCGATTTTTTGATTTTCTCATTTCTCGACTTTCCAATGTTTTGATTTCTCTATTTTTCGATTCTTCAATATTTCGATTTTAAAATTTTTCGATTCAGTTTTTCAATTTTTGACGATCTTTCTCGATTAATCGATTTTTTGTTTTTTGGACCTTTCGTTTTCTTGATTTTTTACGTTTTGATTTTCTCATTTCTAGACTTTTTAATGTTTCGATTTTTCGATTTTTTATTTTTTTAATCCTTTAATTTTTCGATTTTTGTTTTTTTGGGTTTTTGATTTTTCAGTTTTTCGGTTCTTTGCGTTTTCGATTTTTCAATTTTTCGATGTCTAATTTTTTGCTGTTTCAATTTTTCGATGTTTAATCTTTTGATGTTTGAATTTTGGGATTTTTCAGTTTTTCGATATTTCAGTTTTGGGATTTTTCAATATTTCCATTCTTCGACTTTTCGATTTCCTGATCTTTACTTTTTCAATTTTGCAATATTTCGATTTAGTTTAAAATTTCTGAAATTTCCGATGTTTCAATTTTACGAATTTTCAATTTTTCGATTATTAAAGTTTTCGATTTTTCAATGTTTGACGTTTCTAAATTTTCGATTGTTTGATTTCTCAATTTGTCGATTAATCGAATTGTTTTCTTGACTCTTCCATTTCTCGATTGATTATTCACGTTATGATTTTCAATTTTTTTAGTTTTTCGTTTTTCAGTCGTTCAATTTTTCGAATTTTCAATTTTTCAATTTCTCGATTTTCAATTTTTCATTTATTCAATTTTTTGTTATTTCAGTGTCGTGATTTTTCGATTCTTTAATTTCTCGATTTTTCGATTCTTTAATTTTTCCATAAATTCTCAGTTTTTTGTCTTCTCAATTTCTCGATTAATCGATTTTTTGGTTTCTCGACCTTTCGATATCTTGATTTTTCACGTTTTGATTTTCGATTTTTTGATTTTCTCATTTCTGCATTTTTCAATGTTTCAATTTTTCGATTTTCCAATTTTTTTTAGGATTTTGATTTTTCAGTTATTCAAAATTTTGCCTTTTCGATTTCTCGATTTTTCAGTTTTTCGATGTCAAATTTTTTGATGTTTCAATTTTGGGATTTTTCAATTTTTCGATATTTTAGTTTTACGATTTTTCAATATTTCCATTTTTCGACTTTTCGATTTCCTGAGTTTAAAATTTTTCAATTTCAGATTTCTCAGTTTTTCAAGGTTTCGAATTTTTGATTTCTGGATTTCTCGATTTTTCCATTTTTTTATTTTTCGGTGTTTAAATTTTCCCATTTTTGAGATTTCCAAATTTTCGGTTTTTGATTTCACGGTTTCTCAATTAATGAATTTTTTGATTTCTCAACTATTCGATATTTTAATTTTAGGATTTGTCAGTTTTTTTATTCTCCATTTCCTCAATTTCCAATTTTTCGATGTTTCAGTGTTGGGATTTTTCAATTTTGAGATTCTTTAATCTCTCGATTCTTCAAATTTTCGATTTCTCGATTTTTTCATATTTCAATTTCTCAAATTTCCGATGTTTCAGTTTTACGATTTTTTTATTTTCTCATTTCCCGACTTTCGATTCTTCAATATTTCGCTTCAAAATTTTTCGAATCAATTTTTCAATTTTTGACGATCCTAATTTTCGATTTTTTGATTTCTCAATCTCCCGATTAATCGATATTTTGTTTTTTCGACTTTTCAATTTTTCATGTTTTGATTTTAGATTTTTTGATTTTATCGTTTCTGGACTTTTCAATGTTTCGATTTTTTAGTTTTTTAATGCTACAGTTTTTCGATTTTTCAATTTTTGTTTTTTTAGGTTTTTGCTTTGTCAGTTTTTCAAATTTTTTGCCTTTTCGATGTCTAATTTTTTGATGTTTCAATTTTGCGATTTTTCAATTTTTCGATGTTTCTGTTTTGGGATTTTTCAATATTTCCATTCTTCAACTTTTCGATTTCCTGATCTCTACTTTTTCAATTTTCCAATTTTTCGAATTTTAAGTTTAAAATTTTTCAATTTTAGATTTCTCAATTTTTAAATGTTTCGAATTTTTGATGCTTGGATTTTTCGATTTTGAAATTTTCCCAATTTTGAGGTTTTTAAATTTTCGGTTGTTGATTTCTCGGTTTCTCGATTAATGGATTTTTTGGTTTTTCAACTTTTTAATTTCTCAATTATTCGATATTTTAATTTTAGGTCAGTTTTTTTATTCCCCAGTTTTCCATTTCCTCAATTTTCAATTTTTCGATTTCTCGATTTTTTCATATTTCAATTCCTCAAATTTCCGATGTTTCAGTTTTACGATTTTTCAATTTTTCGATTTTTGACGTTTCTAAATTTTAGATTTTTTGATTTCTCGATTAATCGATTTTGTTTTCTTGACTTTTCGATTTTTCGATTGATTATTATTGACTTATGATTTTCAATTTTTTGATTTTTAGTTTTTTAGTCGTTCGATTTTTCGAATTTTCTATTTTTGTTTGTTAGGTTTTTGATTTTCCAGTTTTTAGATTATTTAAATTTCTGATTTTTCGACTTTGATTTTTCAATTTAGATTTTTCGTTTATATTTTGGTCTTTTTTCTGAATATACATGTTTTTATTTCCTTGTCAAGAAATAAGTATTTTGCAGTTAAGCTCCGCCCCTTTGGTTCACGGCGAATAAAAAAAAAATCATCACAATTGAGATTACATTTTGCCCTTTTGTTTTCAAATGTGTAGACTTCTTTTCATCAACACGTCAAAATAAACAAAAAGTTGCGGTAAAAAAATTATTTATTAAAGTAACTCCTGCTATACACTGGAGAATTATAACTACTGGGATATTGATTCTGTGGATATTGATTTTGTTGTGGATACTGATTTTGTTGCGAATACTG